GTTGTGCAAGGGAAGAGGAGGAGTAGCGAGAGAGAAGGAGAAGGAGAGCGAAAACAAGAACGAAGAAAGGAAGAAGAGAGAGAGAGAGAGAGAAAAGGAAAAAAACGAACAAGAAACGAGAGGGGAAACAAGAAGAACAAACACGTGGGTACACACAAGAAGTTCTCCTGTTCGTTAGAAGTCTCTCCGAAAGTCTCACGGAATAAATAGCCGGCCATGTCGCGAAAGCGGTTCACCATCCTGGTCTCTGTACCGCTTCTTTGACGCAAACATTGAAATATCTGACCGCTGCCTGCCTATCAACCAGCCGTGAGACGCGTGCCAAGGGTTCAGCCGGCCTGCCGTCCACAGGGCTGATTTTATCAAGACACTTCCTCCGAGCTTTTCTTCTACATGCGCCTAGACTGGGGCAATTTATCCGGTCTGGAAAGCCTCCAATAAAGGCTGTAGGTAAGCAGACTTCTCTGCTTTAACAGACCGCTAACACGCAGGAATAGACTACCTTCAGAGTGCATGCTTAGCCTCCACTTGTACGATCTTCAGAAAGCATCTGTGCCTCCCTCAGGAGACTATGTGCTCCATACAGGATTCAATGGATTGTTTCATCCTCATGTAGAAAGCAATGTTTCCTACCTTCTCTTCGTTTTTGAGGTTGCTATTCTAGGAAAATAAGAGCAAATTTCGGCCAAACTCGTGACAGGTGGACCGTCGATGTCGACTATGTTCGCCATGTTCATAGACGGCGACTTATGCGTTGATTATTTTTAAGTGATAGGAAACTTGTGTTGCATCTACCACCCACCTGTGCCCGGTGTCAGGACAGAGTTAGGAAGACTGGAAACGAGATCGGGTGCAGGCGGCCAGAGCCGCCTCTACGCCCAACTCAGATCTCACACAGCGTGGGATGCCATAAAGGACACGGACTGTTGGTGGCAGAGCCTGCATCTACGCGTGCCACCAACGACCCCCTCCCCCATGTTTAGCATTTGTTGCGGAAACGCAGGTCTAATAATGCATGCCATGCCCTAATCTGGTCCCATGTTGGTCCAGCGCATCTACCACGTAGCCTGTGCAGGTGGTACTGCCGTGGGGACAGCAATACCCAGGACAAAATGCAAAATTAACAACGCCGCGAAGGGTTTGGTATCACTGATGCCAGTGACTGAACGTAACAAGTGGTTTGATTTTAAAGAAAATGCGATAAATGATGCAGTGGTGGAGCAAGTCCTTATCAACTACAGTAGATTAAATAAGATTGGGATGGACTGGACTAAAGTAAGATATGTGAGATGTTGTCCGTTTACATCTTATTAAAAACATATTCTATTGGATGAAGTCACCGTAGAATGTGCTGTAGTAAACTATGAATGAGCCGAGTAACGTCAAATACTTTAGGCAGAGGTATCATTAGTAGCGCAGTCACAGTCTTAGTCTTGTTTCTTACAGAACCGGGCGCAATAGGGGTTTTATGGGTGTGTTAAAAGGTTTACCGTGAGTACGGAAAGCTAGCACATGGCAGCTCAGATAGGCTTACGTTAAGTTAAACGCCATGACACTACTATAGAAGGCCAATCGCGATTATAAAGTTTACCATGCATAACTACCTACTTACTTCTTCATACCTAACCCTTACCCCAGACCTAACCATTAACCTCTCCTTTACCCTTAACCTAACCCTAACACTTATCCGTAACCGTAAGTCCGAGACTTAGTGTAGATAACGAGCGTTACCAATGATACCTCTGCCGCATTTTCATAAAAGAGCATTTCTTACTTCAAGTAAGCCGATAATACAGTCCATGGCATAATCTCACAGTCTAGCTTTATCTTCATGCCCTTTTGAAGGTAATGATATGAATGAGGTTAGCTGAATAAAATTTCCCTTGAATCAGTCCTGTTTGGCAGCGACTGCTGAACTCTAGCAGTTCCTTGCGGCATACCCGTTAAGTTTCTATGACCAGGTGGAGGCCGGTTTACTACAGCTGGACACAAAGTATAGCTTTTTGAATGCATGTGTTTCTATCGATTATTGTGCCTCACTATAAAACACTGTCTCTAGTCGACGCCCGGGATATTCACGCAAAACAGACATGGTGTGTCTGAGCCCTGAATATTTGGCCCTGGCCGCTCCCATCCCGACGACATACCGCTGGCTGCGCCGTCTGAGTTTTTTGCAGAAGCTGTGCATGTCGGTGATCATCGGAAATTACATTATCCACGGAGCTGGCATGGCGGCCTGCATTTACGTTGATAGTTACTTTCGAGTCGTCTTGCATTTGTCGAACGTCAGCGAACCAACTACAGATTTGCCCAGTCACGTTGTTCGGCCACCCCAGCACGCAATCAGCGTAGAGATAGGAAACGGACTCTGGGTCTTCCACGAAAACAGATTGGTAGCTGCTGGTGCTGAAACCATAGAAGATCCAACGGACGCGCACTTCGCCGCGGCGCGTTCACTCTGGGGTCTGTGCCGAATTCGGTCAATCCGTCCTGCCCCCATAATAATGGGAATAATGCTCTCCCTGGGTATTGGACTAGTGATTCTGTTTACGAGTCTCCTATGCGCCCTCTTTGATAGACGGAGCTTCATCACAGGTGGTCTTGCTGGAAGCTTTAGCGGACTTATAGCCAATATACTGATCGAACATTGGGAAGCAGACATGTTCGCATGCATGAAATCTATTACTGTGGGTATGGATGGAAAAACTCGATTCGTGTTTGGAAGGATATTTCATTATACACCTGCCGGTCCTGGGCCATGTGTTGCAATACTGGCTTTCTGTAATGCATGCTTCGTTTCGCAAGTGATAGCGTCATTCTACATGCTCTTCAAGAATCCAAAACGTCTCTAGGGCTCTGCCATTGTAATTGAACCTGGACAAATTCCTCCTGAGGCACTCCGAGATTTTGTCAGATTTCCATGTTTAAATTGTAAAGGATATTGCAGTTGCCGTTGTTAATGTCATAAAATGTAAACGAATGATTAGAAGTTCAATAAACTTGCGTTTTTACCCGCATATATATGTATGAGAAGAATAGGAGATCACGGGAAACACAGTTTTACTTTCCTGACGTTTCAAAAGCATACAGGCTTCCGTCATCAGAGGTGGGATTTGTACCGCACCTCAAAGTATTTGTAATAAGTGACAGTCATAGTCAATAGGCTTTAAGCCAATGCAAAGGAAGGGGGCCGGGGAATGGGAGGGATGCTCAATCATCGACGCCTTGAGACGGATTAACTTCAGTCAAGGAGCCTCCCGTGAGGTTCTGCTGTTCGCGCCTGTGCAGCTGTCATCGATCTAAGCTGTCTTCCCAGGCTGATGATCCTGTTTGTGTTCACACGTCCATCCGGTTTCCCACTTGGGACGGTAGCTTAGATCGATGACAGCTGCACAGGCACGAACATCAAAATCGCCGGGAATCCGAGCCCTTGCGACCCCATGATGGAAACACACGTAGACGCACCACAACCGAAAAGAGTAATCATCAGCTTAGCCGCCTCATCCGCTCATCCTGCAGGTGGGAAACCGGATGGACGTGTGAACACAAACAGGATCTAGGGTCTGGCCCTAGTCATGTCCCGTCCTCCTCCGTCCATGTCATCCACCTAATAATTTCCACGATAATTTTCTTGATTATTATCTGGAGGTCATATACTAGAAAATGCATAGAGAACGTTGCGGGACACACTGAGAAGT